AGTAACGTTCTTATTATAAACTAAGTGGTTGCCCTTGTAGCGTCGAAGTGAAGTGGTGGCAGTGCCTGGTACGATACGCCAGCGCCAAGTGAGTGTTCTGTCTAAGTGGAGCGAACGAAGACCCCGTAATACTGCAATTGGCCACGACACTAAGGCTACAGTATGCATCCAGAACTTTTGACTGACAAATGTAATGGAGTGTTCCAATAATACAAAGGGGCAGTGTATATTACAAAGGGTTTAAATAGGTAATCCTCTAGTTGGGTTATAGGTATGGCAGCTAGTATAGAACTTATAGTGTATAATTATCTATACACGGACTACTTAAATAGGCATTCAAAAGGCACATGTGTAGCTAGTTGTACTCTCTAATATAATTGGGGTTTCATTGTGAGCTCCTCACCTATTATACTTAAATAAAAACCCTATGCCAAAGAGGCTAGTTAATTAAAAAAAAAAAAAAACAAAAACTCTTCATTATTCTATATATCTGAAAAACTAGCTATTATTTGTTGCTTCTATTAAAAATATTATACTTTCTTTACTTCAAGCTACTTGAATATTTCACCTAAATAAGCCACACTTTCTCCTTCTTAATAATTTAAACTAATGAATATTAATTTAACTAAACAAATTAGAAATCTAAAGATAATATCCTACAATCTTCTATTGCCAAACCTATATTTGTTTTTACTCTTCTATTTTTACTTAACTATCCTGTCACTACAATATCTAGTAACTTATCTCAGACTCTTCAAATACAAGCATACTCTTACAATACTCATATATATATTATTTGTAAACTCAAAATATTCTTTATACATTTCTATCAGATAATAAACATATACTTTTAAATAAAGCTACTTTAGTACTTAGAGGTTATCTAGTATATGCTGCATGTATTTACAAACTTAATTAATGATTCGCCACTTAATAGGAGAATAATCTTAATGTAATGTAATACAGATCACTATATAAATTACATATATCCAGAATCTGGCATTCGTCTAAAGAAAACTTTTTTCTTACTAAGTTAATTGCTCTTCTTACTTAAGAGACAATTGTCAAGCTCATCAAGATGAATCTAATAGTAGTAAGATCATTAAAAATAGTTGCTGAGATATCATTAAATAATGATTGGCCAACTATGTAAAATTCTATATAAATATACTATTGCTTATATAGAAATTTTATAGAAATTTATATAGTTAGCAAATCATTTTTTAGTGATATCTGATAACCTTACTACTATTAGATTTGTCTTGATGAGCTTGATAATTGTCTCTTAAGTAATAATAATGATTAACTTAGTAAAAAAAATGGTTTTCTTGGATAAATGCCAGATTCTGAGTATAGATAATTTTATAGTAATCTATATTATGATACACTAAGGCTATTGTTCTGCTGAGTAGTGAATCATCAATTAAACTACAATTAATTTCTCAAACTTAACTACTCATATTTGAAGATATAATACATTCTATATAATCAAATTTGTCTTAATAGAAAAAACTACAAACAAAAAATTTTTAAAAACTTCTTGCAATTATTAAAAAAAAACAAAATACTAAATGCTCTAGATAAAATATATTAAATAACCTTAATTAGTTTAAAATTTATCTTATTACCCTTTATAATAGAGCTTTTTACTAAATTTAATATACTATTTGCTTAGCAAATCTTTGAGTTTATTAAACCTTTTTTCATTGATTTTAAGATCTATCACAAAATCTTAATATTTAAAATTTTAATAGTACAAATTACAATAATGCTAATCCTGATATACATAATCCTAACAAAATAAAATCTTAACAAGATGAGATAAAATTCTGATCAGCTGAAATATCATTTGATCAATTTTTAACAGATACTTCAAGATAATAAAAAATTCAAATCTGGGTCTTCGGGTTATTAAAGGTTAGTCAAACTGATAATATAAGTTTGTATAGTTTTGACAGTCAGTATTCAGATCCTGTCTTAATTAAGATTCTGACTATTCAGAGTTTTAAACTGTCAGAATTTTGATCATTCAAAATTTTGAATTATCTTATAGAGATTTTATCTCAAATTTTTTATTTTATCAAGATTTTATCTTATTAAGATTTTATCTTATTGAGATTTCATCTTGTCAGGATTTATCTTGTCAGGATTTGTACTGTCAAAATTTTATCTTGTTAAAATTATGTATATTAAGATTAGCACTATCAAGATTTGTACTGTCAGAATTTGTACTGTCAGGATTTGTACTGTCTGAATTTTGAATATCAGAATTTTGTAATAGATCTTTGATTTTGTCTTAAAACAAATTAACAGAAAAGTAAACAAACCAGATATTAAATATAGCTTCAACTACTTAATTAAATAAATAGCAAACAACAACTCAAGTTTTTAACTGAACTAATTTATGAATAATACTATTTGTTAACAAAGATATTACTATATTTTTTAAGATAGTATATATTTTATTTAAAAATATTTTATTTAAATTTACTTATATTCTCTTTACTAAACTTAACTATTTAAAAATTTTTGCATCTTATAACTCCATTCCATCTTATTCTACTTCTAATTACTATAATATTGTACTTAACTTCACTCAACTTTATCTCTTCTTTAATAATAAATATCAAACTATTAACAGAATCAAATTTATTTAAGACTGAACATATGTTCTATTCATTTCAATCTCTATTATTTTACTTCTATCAATATAAAGAACCAACTTTCATTTAAAATTTAAAATGATAATAAGTTTAATATTAATGGTTTTTTTTTTCTCTTGCAATGTTGCGAACAGACAAATTTTTATTAGATATTTAAATAGTATATTTATCACCACCTACGATTACACCAGCCTATAACCTCGTGCTACTATATTTAAAAACCACTCAGATCGATATATGCTACACTACTTGTGTCCTAATTCTATAGATAACTCAGTAGGGTTCTTATACTTACTGGTTTGCTTTAGGGAAGATGTAGTATATACCACCTAATCTTTCTATGTCTTACACATTTCCAGACTAAGTCTTTTCAGTAACTTACGCCAAGGCTAA